AGGTCAAAGATTTACAAATGCAATTATAAAGGGCAATTCTATATAATAGCAGTAAATGCATAAATCATCTTAGGTTTTCACAGAGAAAGAAGCATCTGACCTGAGTCTTGGATAAATGGGAATGTGCAAGATGGAGAAGTAGGCAATAGTTCTTCTAAACAGTTAAAACAGCATATATAAATACACTAGGCATGAGGGGACAAAGTTTACTGCTAACTACTAGACACATCAGTATTGTTAGAGCAAAAAATGAGAGCAAGGGCATTCTGTGGTTTGGGCTGGGGTCTCAAAATGCCTCTTTCTCTGTAGCTCAAGTAGCATCCTCTACCTTCAGCAATCCTTAAGGAGAAAAAAACAAACAAATTTTGACATAAAGGGGATGTTTGGTTGAAAAAGAGACCTCAGTGCTGGTATAGTTGCTAGTTTAATAGTCCTATTTATTTGGCTGTTCTTGTTCTTATATTGTACATATATGGCTTACTTAACCACACAGTATAAAATCACTGAAAGAAAGAAGTGAAGTCTCATTATGAAATACGTATAATTTGCTTTTTGACTTTAACAAGTTCCTCATCCCTTCCTTTGCCCAAAATAGCAAGAAAGTGTCTAACTGATCTTGTTCAGCTGAACAGTTCATCATTTCATAGTTTCTAATAGCTTGTGTCAGAAGCCTTATATAACCACGTCATTTGCTCAGAAGTAAGGAATGTTCGATAGAAATAAAATATTCTGAATTAGTCAGGCATGGTGGCACACACCTATAATCCCAGCTACTTGGGAGGCTGAGGCAGAAGAATTGCTTGAACCCAGGAGGAGGAGGTTGCAGTGAACTGAGATAGCACCACTGCACTCCAGCCTGGGCAGCGGAGCGAGACTGTCTCAAAAAGAGAACTAAAATATTCTAGATGTTTTACTCTTTAGTATTTCTTTCTCTGTATTCTAAAATGAATTAAACTCTCCATCCCTTTCTAGACCTTTCTGTTCCTGAAGCTGCATCTTTTAGAGCACTCCATTTAAAACAGCCATGAATAAATTTATGTTACACAATCTGAGATGGAATTCACCTTGCTTCTCACACTACACTCAAGCATATTTCAGCCTATAAAGACCTATATCAGGGCCGGGCGCAGTGGCTCACGCCTGTAATCCCAGCACTTTGGGAGGCCGAGGAGGGTGGATCACAAGGTCAAGAGATCGAGACCATCCTGGTCAACATGGTGAAACCCCATCTCTACTAAAAAATGCAAAAAATTAGCTTGGCATGGTGGTGCATGCCTGTAATCCCAGCTACTCAGATGGCTGAGGCAGGAGAATGGCCTGAACCCAGGAGGCGGAGGTTGCGGTGAGCCAAGATCGCGCCATTGCACTCCAGCCCGGGTAACGAAAGCAAAACTCCGTCTCAAAAAAAAAAAAAAAGACCTATATCAGGATGTAAAATATGACAACATTTAGCCTATAGAAGAAAAACTTGAACAGAATGAAAAACTCCATGTGTTTGTTGTTTTTGGCTCCATGTTAGCCTCTTACTTTGTAGCCAGTAAGATACATCTTATCTATATACCTGTACGTTTTTCTTTTGTGTTCTTGAGTTGGCCTATATCCTGAGATAAATAATTCCTCTGGCAAGCTCTCGTAAGGCCATAGAATTGAATTTTTTTTTGTGATATAGAGTCTTGCTTTGTTGCCCAGGCTGGAGTGCAATGGTGCAGTCTCGGCTCACGGCAACCTCTGTCTCCCAGATTCAAGCAGTTTTGCCTCAGCCTCCCAAGTAGCTGGCACTACACGTGCGTGCCACCACACCCAGCTAATTTTTGTATTTTTAGAAGAGATGGAGTTTCACCATGTTGGTTAGGCTGGTCTCGAACTTCTGACCTCATGATCTACCCACCTTGGCCTCCCAAAGTGCTAGGATTACAGGCATGAGCCACCGTGCCCGGCCAAATTGAATTTTTATAGGCAAATAAGTGTTTTAAGTATGACAATGATTTAGTAGGAAAGAAACTAAAGAACAAGTTGGGAAATCCAGGGTTTTTTTTTGTTTTTTTTTTTTTTTTTTTGAGACAGAGTCTCACTCTTTTGCCCAGGCTAGAGTGCAATGGTACAGTCTTGGCTCACTGCAACCTCCGCCTCCTGAGTTCAAGCGATTCTCTTGCCTCAGCCTCCTGAGTAGCTGGGATGACAGGCACCTGCCACCACACCCGACTAATTTTTTTCATTTTTGCTAGAGACAGGGTTTCACCATGCTGGCCAGGCTGGTCTCAAACTCCCAACCTCAGGTGATCCGCCCCTCAAAGTATTGGGATTAGAGGCATGAGCCAACGTGCCCGGCCATTTTTTTGTTGTTGTTGGTTGTTTTTTGAGACACAGTCTTGCTCTGTTGTCAGGCTGAAGTGCAGTGGCACGATCATGGCTCACTGTAACCTCCAACTCCTGGGTTCAAACCACTCCTGCCTCAGCCTCCGAGTAGCTGGGATTACAGGGACTTGCCACCAGGCCTGGGTAGTTTTTGTATTTTTAGTAGTGATGGGGTTTCTACCCTGTTGGCAAGGCTGATTTTAAACTCATGATCTGCCCCTGCCTTGGCTTCCCAAAGTGCCAGGATTACAAGTGTGAGCCACTGCACCCAGTATGAAATCCTTTTTTTTTTTTTTAATTTTTTTTTTTTTTTTTTTTTTTGAGACAGAGTTTCGCTCTTGTTACCCAGGCTGGAGTGCAATGGCACGATCTTGGCTTACCGCGACCTCCACCTCCTGGGTTCAGGCAATTCTCCTGCCTCAGCCTCCCGAGTAGCTGGGATTAGAGGCACACGCCACCATGCCCAGCTAATTTTTTGTATTTTGAGTAGAGATGGGGTTTCGTCATGTTGACCAGGATGGTCTCGATCTGTTGACCTCGTGATCCACCCGCCCCGGCCTCCCAAAGTGCTGGGATTACAGGCTTGAGACACCGTGCCTGGCCAAAATCCTTTTTTAAACCATGTGATTTGGTCTTTATTTGGAAAATACAATCCTACCATATCTTATATTTATTATTTTCCCATTCTAAAATTATGTGATTCTAGGCTAAATCGAGAGCAACATCCCATTTCACATCCACTGTCATCCTTCTCAAGCTCAGATTTCACCCACTTTTAACATTTAACTTTTCTACCAAAACTGTAATTATCTTCAAAACTATATAATTTATCTTTTCTAAAGTTAATTTAACTCACAGTGCTATATGTTTAGAACAGCTGGTTGAATGCTTTTTGTATGTGATATAATTAATAGAACCCTAACTGTAATAGTCAGAGAGGGAAGGGTATAGAATTTAAATAGTGATTTTTGTCAGAAAAACATGGGGAAATTATTTGTGGGGTTTAGTGACAGTTTTCCAGGGATTTGCCTTTATTTTCTCTGTGTTCCAGGTCTTGCCTGAAATTTAGAAGCCCCTTTCTTCCCCTTCCTTTCTGGTGCTGTCAGTAGTGGTGATCACCTCTGAGGAAGAAAAGCCCACTTCCCACTGACCATGGAGAACACTCAGCATCTCTGCTTGATTGTGACAGGGCAGATTTTGGATGGATCATGAAATGCTTCTAAAGTAGCCAAGAGTTAACTCTTCCAAACCTTTTTATATAGTAAGCATGTTACCCCCAAGGTAACTTACCCAGGGAATCAGCTACATAGTGGAATCACATTATTTACACATTTAACTTATGGAAATTCAACAAAAAAAAAAGAAAGAAAGTATATGAGTGAGAGAAAAAAATAGCAATCTAAATAGCACATGTTAAACATTCCATTTCAGTAAGTCCCAGTGGACAGTGGATGAAATCAAATCTGAAACAGTTCATGCTGGTGAAAGTTATAGAAAGAATGTGAGGATGATTTTTAAAGATTTCCTAGTTGTTGATAAAGCATATTCAGGCAAGTGGGTGGGAGAGTTTTTTTGACCTTTACAGGGGTTGTTTTTTAGTTTTTATTCTTTTATTTTTTTTGAGATGGAGTTTTGCTCTTGTTACCCAGGCTGGAGTGCAATGGCATGATCTCGGCTCACCGCAACCTCCGCCTCCTGGGTTCAGACAGTTCTCCTGCCTCAGCCTCCTGAGTAGCTGGGATTACAGACATGCGCTACCATGCCCAGCTAATTTTTTGTCTGTTTAGTAGAGACGGGGTTTCACCATGTTGACCAGGATGGTCTCGATCTGTTGACCTCGTGATCCACCTGCCTCGGCCTCCCAAAGTGCTGGGATTACAGGCATGAGCCACCACACCCGGCCCTATTTTTTATAGAGACAGGGTTTTACCATGTTGGCCAGTCTGGTCTTGAACTCCTGACCTCATGATCCACCTGCCTCGGCCTCCCAAAGTGCTGGGATTACAGGGGTGAGCCACCACGCCTGGCCTACAGGGGTTATTAAAGATCGTTAAGGAGCTACCCTTAATAATTAGAGGAACTAATAAAATCCCCTACAAAGAATGACATGATGAGAACAAGTTGAAATTTTTATAAATTTACTAAGTGCTTGAAGGAATGAAACACCTGGTTAAATTTCTGAGTGTTCTTTATGGATTTTCAGTGGTTATTTATACCATCTACTATTTCCCCTTAATAACCACTCCCCCAAGTAAGATGCTACCTTACCAAGTGGAAATTATACTGATTTTGTTTGACAGTATAAATTGAGTAAGATAATGAGTTATTTCATTAAGAAGCTGGTTTGTGGCTGATACTTCCATTTGTTAAAAAACATGGGCATGTGCTGCTTTCTCTTGGAAGTCTTTGAATTTAAAATCTAGATTCTATAATGAATATTTCTTGACCATCCTAGTAATTTGTACCATCATTTTACTTTATTACTATGATCTTTTTCCATAAATGTCCACTGCTTTGCCAATTACTACCTTGAGGTTATATAATTACCAAATAAAAAATCATAATTGGCTGAATTGCTTTTTAAAAATATATTGTTTTAGTAGTACCTATCATGTGAAGTACGTTTTTCTTCTGTGATCATACAGGTGAACATGATTAAAGATGATGGGACAGTTATTCATTTCAACAATCCCAAAGTCCAAGCTTCCCTTTCTGCTAACACCTTTGCAATTACTGGTCATGCAGAAGCCAAACCAATCACAGAAATGCTTCCTGGAATATTAAGTCAGCTTGGTGCTGACAGCTTAACAAGCCTTAGGAAGTTAGCTGAACAGTTCCCACGGCAAGGTAGGTATTTCAATTTAGTAAATCTTTCTCTCCCCACCTTACTTAAAGAACCTAATCATTTAAAAGGTGTCCCATCTTAAATTGGATTTGCCTGTATGTAATTATTTACTTTCTATAAAGTTATTTCTATGCTTCATAAAATTTTGAGTTTGTTTCTTCAGTGATTATATAGTATGACACATAGAATATTCAGAAACATTTTGATAGTAATATAATAAGTTGAGAGGTAATTACCAAAAAGGATAGTGCCAGGATCTGTAGGTCATAATTTTATTTTATTTTATTTGTTTTTGAGACAGAGTCTCACTCTGTCTTAGAGGCTGAAGTGCAGTGGTGCGATCTCAGCTCACTGCGATCTCCGCCTCCTGGGTTCAAGCAATTTTTGTGCCTCAGCCTCCCAAGTAGCAGGGACTACAGGTGCGCACTACCGCACCTGGTTAATTTTTGTATTTTTAGTAGAGACAGGGTTTTGCCATGTTGGCCAGGCTGGTCTTGAACTCCTGGCCTCAAGTGATCCACCTATGCTGGCCTCCCAAAGTGCTAGGATTTCAGGCATGAGCCACCATGCCTGGCCCATAATTTTAAATAGTTAATTTGATACTCACTGCTAATTAATGACAATCAGAAAATACTGTTGTGTGGCTGGTCGCAGTGGGTCACTCCTGTAATCTCAGCACTCTGTGATCCTGAGAATGTAGGATTGCTTGAGGCCAGGAGCTCAAGACGAGCCTGGACAACACGGTGAGACTCTGTCTGTACAAAAATTAGCCAGGTGTGGTGGCGCACACCTGTAGTGTTAACCACTCAGGAGGCTGAGGCAGGAGGATCACTTGAGATCAGGACTTCAAGGCTGCAGTGAGCTATAGAATGCCACTGCACTTCAAACTGGGTAACAGAGGGAGACCCCTGTCTCTTAAAAAAAAAAGAAGAAAGAAAGAAAATAATGTTGTCACACATGTATGTTTTTGTTAAATATTATTGATTGCCCTACCATAAGTTCTGAATTTCCAAGATAGTCCTGGTTTTAGATGTGTCGCGTTACCCCTAAAAATTAGAGTCTAGTATTACAGTGCCCATACTACCTAGCTAGACATTTTCTTACGCCAAAAGAAATGAAAAAAAAAAATATTTTTTTCTTACTTTTTATTTTTTTTGAGACTTTGTCACCCATGCTGGAGTGCAGTGGATTACAGGCATGAACTACTATGCCTGGCCGAAAAAGAATCTTTTTTTTTTTTTTTTTTTTTTTTAAGAAGGAGTTTACACTCTTGTTACCCAGGCTGGAGTGCAATGGTGCGATCTCGGCTCACCGCAACCTCCACCTTCTGGGTTCAGGCAATTCTCCTGCCTCAGCCTCCTGAGTAGCTGGAATTACAGGCACGTGCCACCATGCCCAGCTAATTTTTTGTATTTTTAGTAGAGACGGGGTTTCGCCATGTTGACCAGGATGGTCTCAATCTCTTGACCTCGTGATCTACCTGCCTTGGCCTCCCAAAGTGCTGGGATTACAGGCTTGAGCCACCACGCCCGGCTCGAAAAAGAATCTTAATATCAATTCTTTTTTATTTGGAGAATAGGGCCATTGTAAAGTCTTTTTATTCAGTCATCAATTATTCCACTTTGCATATAAATTTTATCTTTGTAGGCTGGGTGTGGTGGCTCATGTCTGTAATCCCAGCATTTTGGGAGGCTGAGGCAGGTGGATCACTTGAGGTCAGGAGTTTGAAACCAGCCTGGCCAACATGGTAAAACCCCATCTCTACTAAAAATACAAAAATTAGCTGGGTGTGGTGGTGTTGCACACCTATAGTCTCAGCTACTTGGGAGGCTGAGGCAGGAGAATTACTTGAACCAGGGAGCAGAGGCTAGAATGAGCCGAGATAGCACCACTACACTCCAGCCTGGGCAACAGAGTAAGACCCTGTCTCAAAAACTTAAATAAATAAATAAAAATAAATAAAATAAATTTTATGTTCACCACACATTAAAATTGCCAGGTGCATCAGTATATATCTAAATTAAAGTTTGATTTCTAGTGTTACTCAAGTAAAAAAATATGAATGGCATTTTAGATTGACAATATTTACCTTTTTCTGAGCAACTATGTGTGATTTATACAGGAAAAAGGGGATAAACATTTTAAGTATTCTATATATAAGGTCTTTATTCTCAATTACTAATATTAAAATAACTTTTTGTAGTCTTAGACAGTAAAGCACCAAAACCAGAAGACATTGATGAGGAGGATGATGATGTTCCAGGTAAGTAGCATTTCCTTAGACTTAAGATTTTAAGCATCCTGTTTATCTCCTTTTAGTCACTGCATAGATGACTTGTAGGTTTGTGTTGATTGTAAGCTCATGAATTTAAATTGATTCACAATAAAATAGATAGGATCTAATGAAAAAGAATGAAAGCCCCCACCTTAAAACTTAAAATCAGAAGTTGTCACACAAAACTCAGCTGCCTGGATTTATTAAATTGAAATCACTGTGATTAAAAATTTGCATAGCTATTGTTACAACATTTCTGTGTGAAGTATAATTGACATATGAAAATGCTATTCACCTCAGCAGTTTGCATAGACAAAAAAAGATGAACATTTCCTTAGGATTAGTATCCTAAGCAGTTAATTAGATCATTATTAGTAAAATGTCACCAGTTCATTTCTGCCTTCTTATGTTTTTAGGCTGATTCTAGTTGTACTAATTTTATTTTTATTGGGGTTAAAAGTTAGGAGTTCCATTTACCTTTTTCCTTTTTTGTATTCTTTGATTCATATGGTTTTTTTTGTTTTTCAGATCTTGTAGAAAATTTTGATGAGGCATCAAAGAATGAAGCTAACTAAAATTTTGGTTTTTGGAAGCTGGCATGGACTAGATTTAACAAATAAGCTATGTGGTTCCAAAGTTTTACAGACACGGAGAACATCACCTGTTACTAGTTACTAGTTCAGTAATATAAATATTTTGTATATTAATAATGCTGTTTGTTCAGCATTTTTTGGTCATTTGATTTTGCATTTTGCACTTCCTCCCAGGATATTTTTTTTGGTCAAAATATGAAGTATTGGTGCAGTTTGGGGGTGTTTTGGTTTTTGATTCCTGTTATTTTTTGTTTGGGGTATTTTTGGTGTATGTATGTTTATGTATGTGTGTGAGTATGTGTGTATACAGTGGAGAGCAAATTGGAAAGCAGTTCTATTTATCCTACTCCCTCCCCAGCAGAAATAAAAAAAATCTTTACATTTGTTACTTTTCTTCTTCTCCCATAAGACACAGAATTAATGGAAATTGGGTATCTTGGATTTCAGATCTGAAGAGATTTTTACCATTAGTGGTTTGATTTTAATTTGCTTGGTTAACTATCATATTTTTCATATACTTCTCTGGGTTTAAAATGTCTTGAAGTATTTTGCCACTGGCTTCATGCTGGAGTAATGGGTAACATATCTTTGGTATGGTTGCCTTAGATTCACTTACCTAGTCAGGCCTAGAACAACTTCTTTTACTAGCTTGCTTCCTTTTTTCCCTCTCCTTTTGGTCTCCAAATGGCCTGTTCAGTCTTTGGTAATATTCTTCTTCATCTTCCACCTAGCTTGAGAAGGATGTTCTCCATATAGAGTTAAGCGAGTGCCTAATTGCTCCTTTTGTAAAATTTTGTTCCCTCATCTTGAGGAACAACAGCTTCATCTTTAACTTTTTATTTCTCCCTGACTTTACAGTTTGGTAGATTTTTTTTCTTTTCTTTTTTCTTGTTGCCCAGGTTGGAGTGCAATGGTGCAATCTCAGTTCACTGCAACCTTCATCTCCTGGGTTCAAGCAATTCTCCTGCCTCAGCCTCCTGAGTAGCTGGGATTATAGGCATGTGCCACCACACCGGGCTAATTTTTGTATTTTTAGTAGAGATGGGGTTTCTCCATGTTGGTCAGGCTGATCTTGAACTCCTGGCCTCAGGTAATCCACCTGCCTTGGCCTCCCAAAGTGCTGGGATTACAGGTGTGAGCCACCATACCCGGCCTACAGTTTGGTAGGTTTCAAACTAGAATAGCTAGCATGTGCTTGCTAAATAATTTTATCCCAGCCCTATCCTATGTCCTAGCTGTTCTTAATAGCAGGTACAAAAATGCCTCTTTTTCAGCAAGGTCGAAATCGGGAATGTCCTTTTGAATGAGAAGAAAATGGGCCATGATCTCAGACTGGGGCCCACTCAGGGCCCCAGGGGTCTAGCGCACTGTGCCCCATCCCACAGCCTGGGAACCACCCAGATGGCCCAGCAGGTGGTGGGAGAGCCCTCATCCCTCCCCCCACCACACAGAGAGGGCAGGTGGGGGCCCCCCGGCCCAGGAGCTTCTCCACAATCGCTCACTCTCTGTCTTTGCACAGTGAAGACAGCTGAACGGGGGCGCTCGGGCTCCACGACCGCGGTCACTCAGCCCCTCCATGCTCTTCGGCCTGGGCCCTGGTGGCGTGGCTGCCATCGGCTGCCCACCTTATACCCAGCACCCCAACATTTGTAACCGTCGGCGGTTTCTTGACCTCCGTCTTGCCTCTGGGCGTTACAGGTGCCATTCCCACTTTCCTGCTGCCCAGCACCCCAACCCCTCCTTCCAGCCTTCCCTTCAAGGGGTGGGTCAGGGCACCTGATGCCCTCCATGGGTAAGACTTCATTTATGACAGCACAGTCCCACCCCTGTGCCTCTGCATCTGCCCACCCCATTTTTCTTCTCTGTGTTCCCTTCTTCTTGTCCCCCCACTTTATTTCCATTTCCTAAGCTTTCTTATTTTTCTTTCTTTTTTATACAGAGTCTCACTTTGTCACCCAGGCTGGAGTGCAGTGGCACAATCTTGGCTCACTGCAGCCTCTGCCTCCCAGGTTCAAGTGATTCTCCCACCTCAGCTTCCCAAGTAGCTGAGATTACAGGCACCTGCCACCTACCACGCCCAGCTAATTTTGTATTTTTAGTAGAGACAGGATTTCTTCATATTGGCCAGGCTGGTCTCCAACTGCTGACCTCAAATGATCTGCCCGTCTCAGCCTCCCAAAGTGCTGGGGTTACAGGTGTGAGCCACTGCGCCTTGCCTCTTTCTTGTTTTTCTAATCTCAGCCAAAAAAGGGCCTCCTCCAGGAAGCCTGCTTTGATTCCCTGGCTGAGCAGGCTCGCTCTTTCCTTGGAACCCCACCATGTAGAAGCTGCCCCCTTCTCATGAAGTGGAGCACTTGGGTCCAAGAGATGGGGTCGCAGATGTGCCCATCAAAGGTCTCCCGGCCCAGATGCCTTTGAGCCCTCACTTTCCGGAGGCCAGGCAGGGAGTCTCAGATCTCAGGAGCCCAGTGCCTGTCTGGGCCTTGAGTAGGAGTTCAGGGGACACTTAGTGAGTTACCGCCAGGCACCAGGCAGTGATGGCGTGATGGAGTGAAGTTGCTGACCAGAAACCTGTTTCTGTGTGGTGCCCAGGGAGCAGGGCTGTGGAGAGCACGACCCCCTGGTTAAAATCACATCTGCCTTTGGGCCTCGATATGCCACACAGAGGGATGATGAAATGAGATGCCAGCGAGTCTTCCTTGTTTGTACACTTTCCTGTAGTGTTTGAAATTTTTTTACAATGTTATTTTTCTTATCCTATAAATCAATACGTTCATTCCCAGCTTTGAAAAAGTGAAAGTGTTGAGTGATGTGGCTCCATTCTGTTTCCTGCAGACCCGGGAGGGGCTCTGCAGTCCCCTTGTGCCCACGCATACCTCGCTTGTCCCCACAGGTAGGTTTTCTGAAACGGGGCTCTTGGACACAGGTCTGTCCCCAGAGCCAACCAGCAGCTCCAGAGAAGAGACAGCAGGTGCCCAGGAGGATGCGGCTCAGTTGCCAGGTAACGGTGGTCACCATGGCAACAGCTGCCTCCTCAGAGGCTGCAGAAGCCTTGGCACTTGCTCCCCACCCCCCCCCACCCCCGCAGGCCAGGGGTGGTGGAGGCAGTGGCGTGGGGCAGCCCCTGCCCATCTGGCCACCCACCTCTGCGGCTTTTCTTTCCCTTCCTCCTCCCACCCTTGCTTCAGGCTCAGGGTAGGCTGTGGGGCACGGGCCACCACAGCCCAGCCTGGGATCTGCCCTGGTCCTTCCACGGACTCTCCTGTGCCCCTGCCCTTTTTGGGGCCCAGTTTCCCCATCTGCCACATGCGGCGGCAACCTCTGCTTTTCCCTCCCATTCACAAGCATCTCTGGAGCGTCGGCCCCGTGCCACTCTCCGCATTGGCCGGGGCCCCCCTTGCTGCCTGGTGTAGGTGGGGTGTGTGACTGGGGCCCCAGGCTTGTTTGGATAAGCGGGCAGTCACGAGTGTGGAAGTGGAGAATCTCAGGGCCGGAGGCAGCAAAGCTGGGGTCTGGGGCCGAGAGGGGTCAGGTGCCTCATCTCTGACAGCCTGGGTTCCTCATCTGTGGCTGAGGGAGACCCGGTGGCCCTGTCCACAGACCCACTCCCTGGGCACCACACACAAACAGGTTTCTGGTCAGCGACTTCACTCCATCACTGCCTGGTGCCTGGCACTCACTGAGTGTCCCCTGAACTCCTGCTCAAGGCCCAGGCAGGCACTGGGCTCCTGAGATCTGCCGGGGAAGCCGGCACACAGGAGGGGCCCGACAGACCCATAGCCACGCATCCGAAGCCACCCGGGGGCCCAGGCACTCCGGGCCACCTCGCCCCAATCCCATTTTTATTTGCGCTTCATCCTTAACCCATTCTGCTCCTGTTCATCCAGCACCTCCCAGCCTCTCGGCTTCTGGAAGGGTCTGTGGGGCCCAGCCTATCCCAGCCCCTGTGTGGGCCATGGTGATCCCAGAAGCAGCTGCCGAGAGGCCCGACTTTGACCGTCGGAGGGGATTGTGTTGGCGCCAGTCTTCCCTCAGCACAGATTACTCGCCATGGCCACCTCCTAGAAGCTACGCAAACAGATTGTGCGCAGCCGGCGCGGGTGGTTGTTGGACGCGGGGACTCGCGGGGCCATCCAGGGTCACTTCGGGGAGGCCGAGGTCCGGGCCAAGGGAGCCGCCTGGCCGCCCCATGTGTATTTCATTAAGTGGCACCAGCATTGCCCAGAACACAACTCGATCCCAGCCACCTGCAGCTGGCGGGACCCACAGCAGGTCGCAGGTCTGGGGGCCACTGCAGCCTCCTCATTTCCCAGGGACGCTGCCCGCAGCGACAGGCTCCGGTGACCTCACCAGCGAGGCTGAGCCTGGTTCCTGCCACATGGGGTTTTGGGGGTGTCGCTGAGAAAGGCCTGGGCCCCCAGCCCTGGCCTCCCACCCCCATGGACACGCACCCCACACCCACAGATTCATCCTATACCTGTAGACATGCACCACCCACGCTCCACAGTGCACACACCTCACACAGACACAAACCACTCACCACACATACTCCACACACACTCCACAGTGCACACATCTCACACAGACACCACTCACCACACACACTCCACAGTGCACACACCTCACACAGACACACACCACTCACCACACACACTCCACACACATATGCCACAGTACACACACCTCACACAGACACACTGCTCACCACACACACACTTCACACACACACTCCACAATTAGCCATGTGCTGTCCTGCTGGGGCACTATGAGGTTGTGTGTGCTGCTGCCCCTGCTCCTGCGATTGCTTTGTGGTTGTGATGATCAAAATGATTGTTTCTACAGTGGCTGTTATTGTTGCGTTTATTATGGCTGCGTTAATTGTTGTTTCTCTTTGGTGCTGACTCTCCCGGCTGTGCGCCAAATTCCCACGCAGCCGCGGTTCTCAGCCCAGTGATTTTGCCCCCAGGAGACACTTGACAACATGTGGCAACATTTCTGGTTGTCACAATTGTGGGGAGGTGGGCTGCTGGTGGTGGTACTGCATGGAGGCCAGTGGCGCTGTTGGACCCTGAGATGCACGGCCCCACCACGGGGAGTTGCCTTGTCAGAGGTGCCGGGCTTCCTCATCATCTAGAGCATCTGGACTCCTATGCGGGGGCAGCAGGGAGATGAAGGGGGGGCGGGTTCAGGTTTCTAGAGTCCTCTCTGGGAAAGCAAACACGGGGTAGTCACGATGAAAGCTCCACAAATCAGACCCCTGGGTTCCTTCGTGGCTTCAGCATTTTCCTGCTGTGTAGACTTAGCTTTCCTGGGCTGCTAGAATGAAATACCGTGGACTGAGGGCTTAAACAAGGGATGTTCATCCCTCACAGTTCTGCATG